CTCTTTCCTCACATTGATGTTTTCAAATCTTTCTGTCGGGTGGGCTTTTTGCCCATGCTCAGGAGCACTGTGCCCAAGGGGAAGATTCCAAGAGCGAACATCCTCAAACACACACTTTTAGAAACCAAACTTGGCAAACTGTCAAAGCTCTGCATGCATCTGGAAGGAAGTTCGCTGGGTGTCCTTGGGCCAGTCCCCCCTCTCAGCCTAACCTACCCCACAGGGTTGTTGTGAGGATAAAATGGAGGAGAACAGAATGATGTAAACTGCTTTGGGTCCAAGTTGAAGAGAAAGGTGGGATACACGTGAATTAAATAAATAACATCTGCAAGACAGACTCAGGAATCTGCATTTGCTGGCATCTGCCCCCCCCCCCCAACTTCCATTGTGAAAACTTGCTGGGCCTGAGTGCGAAAGAAGAAACAGAGAAGGTCATTTAAGGTAGCCAAGAAAATACCTGCTCATCCACATCTTCGCACTCGACAAGGATCATCGGCCGATTCTGATCAGCAGAATAGAACCCAGAGCAGTCCCGGTCAATCTGCCCAAACAAAGAAGGAAAGGTATCAGCCCCAAGCAAGCCCTGAGTTCAAGAGATGCACACATACACAAACACACAAACTTCCTGGCAGAAAAAGGGCTCAGAGTGGGTTTAACATTGGCTGTGCTAGTTGCAGAAGTCCACCTGTGTTGCCAGCATGGGGCCTTCCTGAGTCACGTGGTGTCGGTCAGGGGCAGGGGGCACAGAAGCAGAAGGTACCACCGTGAGCAGAATGGACCTGCGTGGTCCATCCCGGGGAATTTCCAGTAAAGGCCAAGGCTTCCCTTGCTCGAAAGCCAGTCGAGTCCGACTCTAGGGTTGTGGTGCTCATCTCCGTTTCCAAGCCGAAGAGCCAGCGCTGTCCGAAGACATTTCCGTGGTCATGTGGCCAGCATGAATAAACACCAAGGCGCACGGAACGCTGTTCCCTTCCCACCGAAGTGGTACCTATTTATCTACTTGCAATTTCTTGCGTTTGAACTGCTAGGTTGGCAGGAGCTGGAACTAGAGATGGGAGCTCACTCCGTCATGCGGCACACTCGGGTCTTGAACTGCTGAACTACCGACCTTCCACAGCCTGCAGTTCAGCGTCTTAACCACTTGAGCCACCAGAGCTCCTTACATGCCAGCAATTCAGCAGTTCCATAGAAGCTGTCCCAGTAAGAACTGGAGGGTCCCCTTACCCCATCCTCTTTTTCCGCACACTGGGTCACATCCGGGTTCTCGTCCGCACGGCAAACGGTCTCCTTGATGGTGAATTTCAGGACCTGGACGGTTTGGGCCGAAGGATCCTGCAAAGACATTCAGTTCGGAGATCAGTCGCGTCTGCAGAGCGGGAGACGGATACAGCCCACCCCCCACCGTGTGGCATGAGCGTGGGTCCCGTCTGGAGAAGCCGGGAGCTGCCAAGCCTTGATCTGGGTGTAGGGTTCCCAACTCTGGGCTGGGAAATACCAGGAGATTCTGGGAGCGGAAACTGTGTGTGTGTGTGTGTGTGTGTGTGTGTGTGTGTGTGTACCTCAGCAGGGTACAGTACTATAGAGCCCACCTGTCCAGGCAGCCGTTTCCTCCAGGGGAACTAATCGCTGTTGTCTGGAGATGAGTTCTCATACTAGGAGGTCTCCAGGCCCCACCTGGAGGCTGGCAACTCTGTCTGGGTGGGTGCCCCTGACAGCTGCACAGAAATTCAGCTACGTCAATCCAGGAGGAGGGGAACTCCACCTGACATATTTCTGCCTGTTGTGATGCTGTTAAAGGGTACATTGGGAAAAGACTAGCAGGCTTCAAGCTGGGTGGTTTGTTTATTTACTTTATATTCATCTCCCACCCTTTCTCCCCAGTGGAGACCCAAAGCAGCTTACGTAAGTCCCTCCTCCATTTTGTCCTCACAACAACCCTGCAAAGTAGACAGGGTTACCAGCCTCCAGGTGGCCCCTGGAGATCTCCTGCTATTACAGTTGACCTCCAGATGACCAAGATCAGTTCACCTGGAGAAAATGGCTACCTTGGAGGGTGGACTCTATGGCCTTACGCCTTGGTGAGGCCCCTCCCCACCTCCCCAGGCTCCACCCTCCGCAAGTCTCCAAGAATTTCACAACCCAGAGCTGACAACCCTGCGAAGTAGATCAGACTGAGGGAACGTGACTGGCCCAAGGCCACCCAGCGAGCTTTGAAGGCAGAGCGGGGATTTGAACCCAAGTCTTCCAAACCCTAGTGCGACAGTCCAGGTGCCAGGAACCCAGGGAGGTCCGGAAACACACCGGGAAGCCCCCTGCAGAGTTTGCTAGCCCGAGAACAAGGAGGAGGCCTGATCCAGCCTTACCTGCATTAAGAATAGTCCCGGAGAATAATGCCCAGTCCTTTCAACCAAGGGTGTAGACTTTCCAATTTCCCAGGGGGGGCTGGGGCTGGGCCAGAGGCATTGCTGTGCTAGGAGCAAGGGTGGCTCCCGGGGGGCGGGGGCGGGGTGTGGGGAGGGGAGGGGCCTCACTCAGCATAGTACCGTGCCGCAGAGTCCACCCTTCAAAGCAGACGTTTTCTCCAGGGAAACTGGCATCTGCCAGCTGGGGATCAGTTGTAAAAGCGGGGGATCTCCAGGCCCCACCTGGAGGCTGTGAAAACTCGAGCTGCAGTGTTAGAAGAGTCAAACAACAAATATATACACTGCAAAAACTTTTTTAGAAGCTAAAGTGTTCTATATGTTCCATCTTATCAAGTGCACGGTGTATTATTCATAATATTCTAAAACAGGTATATATTCCTCACATGCAATATCAACAATAATAATCAGTTTGTACAATCTAATAGCTACCACTCAATTTACATCCCTTTTACACAATCAACCCCGACGGGAGTTTCTAGAATTGTACACC